TACAACTAAAATTTTTCTCTTCTCTTTTCTTTTGTTACCTTTTTTGGCTACAGGTATAAACTAGCTGAAAGTGACAGTCTTATGAGGTCTTCTTATTTCTTCTGTCCAGATAGTTAGGCTTTGTATTGTTTTTAGTAGCCTTTCATGTATTTTTTCTTTCATGCTGTCACTCAACGAATGTTGTATATCTACTCTATGCCACAGAAACAGAAGTAAACAAGGCCCAAGACCAGCAGAAAAAGACACACAAGAAAGGCACTGACGATTTAGTTTGTTAAGTGCTATAATAAAGATATGCCAGGGGTGCCTGGGTGGCTCAGTTGTTCAGGCGTCCAACTCTTTGATTTTGACTCAGGTCATAATCTCACGTTTGTTGAGTTTAAGCCCAGCACAGGGCTCCACACTGATAGCTCGGAGCCTACTTGGGATCCTCTCTCTCCCTCTCTCTCTGCCTCTCCCCTGCTTGTGCTCTCTCTCAAAATAAAAACTTAAATAATCATAATCATAATCATAACAAAAATATGTTCAGATTGTTCTGCTGGAAACACAAAGATGAAGAAATACTCCTGAGCTAGAAAAGCTTACATCAAACAAAATAGAGTAAATATAAGGACATCCAAAGATATTGTACTATCATTGTTTGTTTGACCCTCCATCAACAGTTCAGATAAGCTCCTTGAGTTCAGGAATCCTGATTTATCTCACAAACTCATGTTCAGTACTTTTGTGGAGGTGGTCTATAGAAATATAGCAAAATGCACTTGAATATCTTACACACACACGTTTTCCCCTCAAAAGTAGCGTTATTTTTGGTAAAGAGAATAAGGGCTTAACTAATATTATTAGGGAACAAGGTAGGTGTGGCAGGATATAAACTCCTATCTTTTCTGTGTTGGGTTATTTCCCTGCTACTTTAAAAATCCTAGTCATTTTCTAAGGCTTATGTTCTCCAGGCCATCTAGATAGTTACCAGCTAATTTCAGTTGTCATCCCTGCCTGAAGCATATGACACCTTTAAGAATTGGGACTTCCTTTTCATCTTTGGAGCACTTCTGTCATCTATTACAGTGCGTACTTCTCTCAGTGTAATAAGTAAATGTCAGTACCGCCCCACCCCCCAAACTCAGGTCAGGAACTGTTTTTGTTTATCTCTGAACAAGCAGTTGGTGCTGTACGGATTGCATGGAACAGAGTTGACCTTCAATAATATTTGTTAAATGGGGGTGCCTGAGTGGCTCAGTTCTTTAAACATCCAACTTTGGCTCAGGTCTTGATCTAACGGCTTATAGGTTCGAGCCCCACATCTTGCTCTGTGCTGACAGCTCAGAGCCTGGAGCCTGCTTCAGATTCTATGTCTCCCTCTCTCTCTGTCCCTTCCCCGCTCACACTCTGTCTCTCCCTCTCAAAAATAAACATGAAAAAATTAATAAAAAAATATTTGTTAAATGGATGAATACTCACCAGTTCTGGTTGTCTAAGAAACTTCATATAATTAAATGAAGTGTATTCAGAGATAAATCATATACTCATAGTAACTCATAACAAAAGTTGGGTTTCCTCTTACCACTTCATTTTTTTGTTGTTGTTGTTGTTTATTTTTTATTTTTTATTTTTTTACCTCTTCATTTTGTTCCTGAATTTCTAGCTAGTTAGAAAATCTGGGAATGGGAGAAGGATATTTTTCTTAATTTCTAAAAGGGTGGCCCTTTAACACGCTAACCACCAGGGCCTCAACAATAAGCAAAAAGTGCAATTGCTCCGAGCCCACTCCCGTCAGGGTGCTTATTACGGTCACGTGCAAATTAGGACAAGGACAACATAGGGCTTCGATTTGTTTTTCTCTCACTTCATTATTTTTATCTGACTTCAAAAGTCCACTTTCTATTCTTGAGTTCTCTCAAGTTCTAGATCTTTATTTTTAACTGATTACTGGATATTTCCCTCTATCCCACCTCCACCCTCATAAAACCTGATGAGTATTTACTTTTTCCATCTTGGTTTCCTATTCTCAAGTCATTCCTTCCCATCATTCAGTGTCCAGCTCAAAGGTCACCTCTTCCAACGCTGCTCCAGGCAACCATTCTCTTTGCAGTTCTCGTATGGCATTCAACATACCCTCCCCAAACTTTTGCATCCCTGCACACAATCTCCAGTGAAAGCACTTGAAGTTCCTGAACAATCATGCTCTCCCCCATTTTCATGCTTTTGCAAGTTCTGCACCAAGCTAGAATGTCCTATTCCCATTCTTGTATTCCTACACCACAGAAGTTACAATACTGTAAATGTGGAAATACACTGTTACCTGTCTTTTTCAATAGACTCTTCACACTTGTGGGAAGACACATTAAAAAATTTTTTTTCAACATTTATTTATTTTTGGGACAGAGAGAGACAGAGCATGAACAGGGGAGGGGCAGAGAGAGGGAGACATAGAATCGGAAACAGGCTCCAGGCTCTGAGCCATCAGCCCAGAGCCTGACGCGGGGCTCGAGCTCACGAACCGCGAGATCGTGACCTGGCTGAAGCCGGACGCTTAACCGACTGCGCCACCCAGGCGCCCCGGGAAGACACATTTAAAAAACTTACAGGCTTTAAAAAATTTATACGCTTTACATGTAACACGTGCTCAATAAATATGTGACAGATGGGTGGATGAATGTTTGAATGTGTAACTAGCCTAAGATCCTAAGGTAAAATTAAAAACACACACACACACACACACAAATTGCAAAATGGCAGAGTCACTTTGGAAAACAGTTTGGCAGTTCTTCAAAACGTCAAACATAGAGTTTCCATATGACTCAGCGATTCCTTATCTAGGTTTATACTTGAGAGAAATGGAAAGATAAGTCCCCACAAAAACTTGTACACAAATATTTATACCAATGCTTTTCATAATATCCCCAAAGTGGAAATGATGAAAATGCCCATCAAATGAATGGATAAACAAAATACTGTATATCCATGCAATGATTACTATTTAATGAAGAGGAATGAAATACTGATACACATTACAACATAGATGAACCATGAAAAAATTATGCTAAGTCAAAGGAGCCAGGAACAAAATGTCACATACTGTATGATTCCATTTATATGAAATGCCGGAATAAGCATAGAGACTGAAAGCAGATTAGTGCTTGCTAGGAGTTGAGGACAGAAGGGAATGAGGAGTGACTGCTAATGGGTTCAGGATTTCTCCTGGAGTCATGAAATAGTTTACAATTAGCTGGTGCTTATAGCTGCACAACTCTGTGAATATACTAAAACCATGCAACTGTATACTTTTAAAGGGTAAATTTAATACTACATGAGTTATTTCTCAATAAAACTATTATTGGTGGGACGTGCCTGGGTGGCTCAGTTGGTTAACGGTCTGACAGCTCAGAGCCTGCAGCGCGCTTTGGATTCTGTGTGTCTCTCTCTGTCCCACCCTCACTCGTGCTCTCTCTCTCTCTCTCTCTCTCTCAAAAATAAATACGGATTACAAAAATTAAAAAATATAAAGCTATTATTGGAAAACGAACACAATAATGAGAATGTTCTATCTGCTCCAGATTTTTATTTATTTTATTTAAAAAAAATTTTTTTTTAACGTTTATTTTTGAGACAGAGAGAGACAGAGCATGAACGGGGGAGGGGCAGAGAGAGGGAGACACAGAATCTGAAACAGGCTCCAGGCTCTGAGCTGTCAGCAGAGAGCCCGATATGGGGCTCGAACTCACGGACTGCGAGATCGTGACCTGAGTCGAAGTCGGCCGCTTCGCCTGGGTGTTGACTGAGCCACCCAGGCGCCCCTGCTCCAGATTTTTAATCAGGGGCTTAATCTTTGAAGTCACAACACAACTCTGCTGCCTAGAACTTTCTTATCCTCCATTTTAATCAATTATACAATCATACAAATGTTGGAACATTTAAAAGATCTTTCTCAATTAACCCCTTCCTCACCTTATAGATAAGAAAACTGAGCTCCAAGAAGGACAAATGACTTAAACAAGGTTATGTAACTGGTAGTGGTGCCAGGGAGACCTCGCTCTCAGTCCAATCACACGTCTTTTTTTCTTAGTTGAATTGACATCTTCCTTCCTGAAACTCCCAGTTTTTTTTTTTTTTATTTAAAGAACAAAAATACATTAAAAAGAAGATCCATTTATCCTTCACATTAAGTCCTATAACTATTACTAGATTGTAAGAAATGTTTTTAAAAGGCTAAAAAAAATAAACAACTGCATCTTTCTGTTTCTTAGTGAAAAAGATAATTATTAGTATTTAAAGGTTTTACTCCTCAAAAATAATACTACATGAGAATTCATAGTAATAGAGATAGCAACAAAGATCATTCCTTCCCCCAGGAAATGGAAATAGACACTTAGTCAAAATACTACATATCTGGAAACTTGCATCTGATCCTTCAGAGAGAGGTCAAATGTAATCCATAAGAAAATGTCTTTCAGAATATCATATTCTGAAGTTCCCTCTTGGGACCCATTTTTTGTGGCCTTTGTCACAGCCAATGGCAGATATAGGTACAATAAGGTAAATTTTTATGTACTTATTCACTCAGGAGATTTTCTATGACAGTGAAATTTCCTTTGAAGTTCATATTTGTTCTTTTCACATCAAGCAGGACCCTTAAAAATTTTTTTTAAACATTAAAAATTGTTAATGTTTATTTATTTTTGAGGGAGAGAGAGAGAGAGCGAGAGAGCAGGGGAGGGGCAGAGAGAGGAGGAGACACAGAATCTGAAGCAGGCTCCAGGCTCCAACCTGTCAACATAGAGCCTGACGTGGGGCTAAAACCCATGAACTGTGAGATCATGACCTGAGCCAAGTTGGACTCTTAACCGACTGAGCCACCAAGGCACCCCCAAGCAGGGCCTTTTAAATAGAAGAATTTTTCATTTGTTTCCACACACAAAACAAAACCAAAACCAAAACATACTAAGTTCCACTGATGATATATATATATATATATATATATATATATATATATATTTTGTATTTTTAATGCATTATTCAGTGTTGACCTTCAAAAGCTCATTGTACAAAACATCATCATACAACTTACAGCCAGAGGGTTAACTCAGTGATTGTGTAGTGTGCCATTTCCCCAACTGGCGTCCACATGTAGGCTGAGGATGGCACTTTTGAAAGGGAGTGTGGGGAGCTAAGGACGCAGAATTGGAGGAGAAAGATGGCCATAATGACAGACACTGCTACACACTCAATTTAATTTAGGAAATTCTGGGCCCGCATAAACAGGCTTATGCCAGGATTTCTCAGAGCTTCTAACATGCTAGTGTTGACTATATCGACCATACAAACTAGTTTGCTCGGACAGCTCCAGTTTAGAACTGCTGTGGATTGATGTTTCAGCATCAATAGCACTGTCTTTCATTTCTGCCATCCTACCTATGGTTCTCTCAGTCGGAGAGTGTGAATACAGTGCAAAGATTTTCTTCAACTTATATGACCAAGGAAATACCTGTATCTACATTCCTATATCCATCTCTTAGAACAAGTGCACAGAACACAGTTCAGGAAAAGCTGATCCACTCCATTCTCATTTGATAGGCTGACGAAACTAGGGACAGAGAATTGAAGAGACTCAGCTACAGAACGGCAGGATGGAGCTAAAGCCTAGACTGCCTGGCCCCTTTCTCTGATACACTTTCCTACATCACAGGTTGCTATACCAGAACACTCTTAACATGAAGTTTAAATATCCCATTATTAGATAGCAAGTATTATATATTTTCTCCTAATACAAAAGCAAGTCACCCAATTTCACATGTTAATTTTTTTTAATCGTAACTATAGAATGAACCAAAGGTGCAGCCAATGAGAAAACAGTACCTCGTAGTCCACTCTCCAAGCCTGTAAGCCAAGTTCACTTATTTCCTATCCTCTGCTTTCCCTCCACTGACTCTGGCAAATATGAGGTGACCAATTTCTTCATATCTTCAAAGATTCACTGGTCTCATAGGTGTGTCTATGGGGGATAATTTTATCAACTACCAGACTTGCCAGTACAAAGTACTCTGTATAATGTTTTAATCCTATTTATGGTCCCAAGTGTGCTCTAACTAAGGATACTACTTTCTTGGGCCATTTGGTACCTATGACAACTCTAAAGAGTTTAAAATTACAACAAAATCCCTTTATTTTTTCTGAGTCTCTACTTGCTTACTAACAAAAGCTATCTTCTGATTCTGGTTGCACCACAAGATATGGCCTTAAGTGAAAATCATGCAAAGAATTCTATCTTTAAAAATCAGTTATTCACACTTTGGGTCACACATGGCCACTGCTATTTCTAGCTAACTGTTATATATTGTAGGTAACTTAGGTACTTGTTTTAGAGAAGAGGAAGTGAATGATTGTATAAACTTTAAAAATAAAGTTATTTCTTATTAGCTAAGAAGTATAAATTTTCTGCAGGGAGAAGTAAATAAAAAATACTAGTTAAAATGATGTTTAAACTCAGGAAATTCATTTCACTTCTATACAGTATATCATTTTGGTCATTATCAAGAAAAGGGAGTTAATATTAATCTTAGACAAGATAACTAATCAAACAGATGAAAATAAAATCATAAGGTGATTAAGGCAGGAGAGCATTTCCAGAGAGAATCTATTCTTGGATGTGTGGGTGGAGACAGGAGGTTACGGGGCAAAACAGCCTTTTCTCATAACCAGACTGGAAGTTGTGATGCAGTGTGGAGCTTTGACTTTTGGGACACAGCACTCTCTTCTATGATGAAGAAAAGGATTGCCTACAATCATTTACCAACTGAAGTAATGAACTTACTCACATCTAACTACTGTACTCAGAACCACCTTAAAAAAAAAAAAAGAATACAGATATTGATCACATCAAACGTTTTCATTGAGAAGTTGACACAGACACCCATATAGTTTATCATGGATGGTCTCAGAAGCTTTCCTGGGTGTGAGAAACAGAACTACAGGCCTTTTTGTATAAGTTCCTGTATATCTTGTCCATGCTGTTCTCAAAGAGGGGTCGGTGGGATTTTCCTTTATAAGACGCTGCCCTGTTGGACCAGTATTCACCATCATCCAAATGGAGAGTGTCATGTGGCCGCTGAAATGAGCTATAAAAAGGATATAAAGTATTAAAACTGGTGAAACGCAATGAGAGGTAGTATTATATAAATCAAATATTTACTGAGTACTTTACAGGTGTGTGATACTCTGGGCTATGAGAAATAAAAGACAATAAGGTCTGTGGCTTCAAAGAGTGACCTATTTGTATGAAACTATTACAATACAATAAAATGAAAATTGTGCATAAGAGACAGAGTTGCAAAGAATTCAGAGGAGAGAGATAGGTGTGGTGTGGTAAAAGTAGAGTGCAGATGCTGTGGTGTGGCCAGTCATGAGAGCACCTGGCCTCTAAAGTCAGGCACACCTAAAACTGAGGAACAGCTCAATCCTTTATAAGCTGGGGGACCTTGGGCAATTTATTTAATCATCCAGAGTCTAGGCTTCCTTTATTTTTGCAGTATTTGTTTAAAAATCAAAGATAACATGTGCAAAGTGCACAGTGCAGCACTTACTTTGCACATGGAAGTTATTAAGTATGAGGCACTAAACTACTAGGTACTTTATAGATATTTATCTAACAATCTTAGGAAATGCTGAAGTTGGTAACTGTGGAAACTAAGATTCAGTGAAGTCAAGTTACTTGCCTATGACCACTCAGCTAGTAACTGGCAGAACAGAAAGGAATATCATGTCTGTGGCCCTACGGCCCCTTCCACTATGGCATACTGCTACTGTCTTCAAGGAGGAGTAGAAAATTACCCTAAATATGAACCATTTTTGGAAAATGGAAAACAAGGTGGAAGAGTCTGTATTTGAAGTGATAAGGATCCAATCTTGAGGGTCTTGAAGAAAAAAGAATAGATAGGAAGCTATGAAATAGACCAGGACTAGGCTAGTTTTAATAAGAATAGAGAAGAAAAAAAGCCACTGTTTTCGAAGGTTTGATAGTGCTTTTTAAAACATACCAAAGTTACAATTTTACTATCATAAACATTAAATTCTGGGCTTAACATATTATTTGCTAGGAATAAAATGCTGACTTTTTCAAGGACTGAGTTTATTTTTTAATAAACAATTTACCTACTTCAATAAATTAATAAATTGTTATAGATAAGACTCTCAGGCATGTTAGAAATTGTGACATTTGTGTCATATAAAACTGTATGTTCTGGGGTGCCTGAACTGGGGCTCAGTCACTTAAGCGTCTGACTTCGGCTCAGGTCATGATTTCATGTTTCATGAGTTCGAGCCCCGCGTCAGGCTCTGTGCTGATAGCTCAGAGCCTGGAGCCTGCTTCAGATTTCGTGTCTCCCTCTCTCTCTGCCCCTCCCCCACTCATGCTCACTCTCTTTCTCTCTCAAAAATAAATAAAACATTTTAAAAAATAAAAAAAAAAATTTAAAACCTCTATGTTCTGGTTATTAAATGCCACAGATATATTTTCTTCATAGATTTGGAATCTCACTTCAAACAATTTCTTCCTTGACTTAACAGTCCAATGATGTTACTTCTATTGTCAACTGTGAAACAGGAACTCTTAGGGCTATATATCTGCAAGAGGAATTGGCTATTCTACCTGAATAGCACCAGGTTCTAACACCTGAACACGAAGTGACCACGAAAAAAGGCATGGAGTAACCGGGTTATCATTTTTGGAACTTGACATGGTGTCAGTGAGGATGTAAAGTCATGAGAACATTCACACACTTACTTTGGAAGAGTTTGGCATGACCCGATAAGGTTGAATATGCAACTTCAAGCCGGTAATACCACTCCCGGCTACCCCAGTGAAATTCTTGCACATGTGTACCATGAGACATGTGCAAACTTGTTCATAACAACACTCTTTGTCCCAAAGCTAAGAACTGGAAGCAACCTTAAATACCCATCTACATTAGAACACATGTGCATACCATGGTATTTGCATACAATGGTACAGTGTGCAGCAGAGAAAATAGGGAAAATTAATGATCTACAGCTACATGCATCAGTTGGGGTGAAACTGAAAAACCAACTGAGTGGGGGGAAAAAAGCAAATTTCGAACAATTACAGTTGTACTTACATTTATATAAAGTTTAAAACAAGAAAAATGAAACAACTTATTGCCTAAGGATAGATTCATGTGCGGTATAACTACAAAGGAAAAAAAAGAAGGATTCACAGAAAAGCTACACTAACAGTTATCTCCATGGAAAGAGAAGCAATTGGTTGGGAGCATAAGGGGGCCTTGTAGGTATGGATTGTGTTCTGTAAAGCTGGATGGTGAGTAAATGGGTATTCATTTATTATTATTACTATTATTATTCATGATGCACAAACCTTAAATATATTTCTCGGTTACAGTTACTATACAAGTTCTTAAAAATTCACTTCTGTGAACCATGACAATAGGTTTCTCTACTTCCTGATGGCTTTGCTAAAATGAAATTCCACCTCATATCTCCTAGTAACATTTACTAGGTCTTGTGAAACTTTCTTTATACTTGGTGTAAAAAATTTCATGCTGGAAAATTTTGAAAGTGATATAGTCTCTGGGATAACAAAGGCATTTTAAAACATGATTATGATTACTTCTATCTTGTCCATTCAGTTAATGAGGGGTAATTAAGACAATTTTTAATAATGTCAGTATAATATTTAAAATTTTTCAGAAGGCTTTAGCCAAGTCTTAGTGCTATTGCTTTGATACAGAGACCACATTTCTTTCATTAGCTCTGCTCAAGAAATAGTCTACCCACTGAATACAATTTCTGATTTCATACATTTTTCACCAAGCCTAATTCCTGTTGTCACTTACAACTTACTTTTTTTTTTTTTTTGACAGTTTGAGTCAAGTGATAAAGAAATCACACACACAAATATGTTACTGGAAACATTTCTGCATCTCTTGTGCCTCTGCAACTGTACCTCCCAGCCTAGGCCCCCACATTTGCCTGTGTTCCCTCAGACTATGTTAGGGGTCCCACCAGGTTTTGTTCTGTTTGCTCGGTTTTTCTTTGTTGTTGTTTATTTGTTGTTTTGTTTTGCAACAAGTCATGAGCTAATTAAAATTTCACAAAATGCAGGTCTGTCCCTTATCTCCTTGTCCACAAACATCAACTTTACCACATGCTGAAGGCCAGATAATAATGTTTTTTTCCAAGCGCTACATTGTGTTTAGCGGCCAGGCTAGCTCACTACAGAAAACCCACTCAACAGAAATTTGAATTTCCGACACACACCGCTACCTGGCTCTCAGAGGGGTAAGCAGTGGTAGGACCTGCTAACTTTAAAAATCATTGTGTAGACTATTTCTGAGATTGTAGACCAAATTCCTACCCCGATCATATATTACTATATTTAATGTTATCTGGCATAGATCTGCAACGGCGGTGGTTCCATTAGACAATACTTTTATTTTCGTGTCTCAAAGTTGCCTTAAAGTATCACCTCAGTGGCTTGCAATGAATAAATAAAATTCAGAAAGCTTTTTAGAGGCAAATGTGAACCCGATAAGGGTTTGTAAAGAAGAGCTAAAGCAGCCAAAATACACATTCTAATGCTTTTTGATCTTGTAAAATTTGGCAGGGAGTTTGTTTCTATTTAAAACTGCAAAATTTTCAATTTAGTAAACAATATTGTGATTGTATGGAGAGAATGTGGGAATTAGTTCAGTTTGGGAGTCTGAACTGCAAAACATACATATGAACACATAATAGGGCCTAATACGGTCCTCAGGTGCAAAGAGTATCAGAATCCTAAAGATGATATTTACTTCCAGACATGAAAGCATTAGCTCTCTAATGAACTATCAACATACTGAGTCAATTCTGATTTTCCATTACTGGGTACATTAATAAGTTTAAAATGTGTAAGTGACACTAAAAAGTTTTATTATAGTAGCAGGCTTTTAAAAACTATACTTCTCTATTTTACCATGAGTATCTTCAGCATTCATTCATTCGAAGCATTTAGTGAGTTCCTACTAAACTCCAAAAAGTACTGCATTAATGCTATAGTAAAATGGTTACTTTCAAAGTAGTGATGATATTTTATTAGTGGAGTGCATTTTGTTTTTATTAACTTACTCTTGCTACTTAAGTAGAAGCCCTGTATTTAATTATGACAATACTATTAAGAAAAAAAAGACAAAAAACAACAGACCAGGATAACCCAAGAACTGGGCAGTTTCAAATCCTAAGTGTTGACAGAGCCTAGTTTATATGCCAAGAACAGAAAGGTCTTAGGTAGTTTAACATGAACTAGGAGACAAAGGACATTACTAATTTTTTGCTTAGAGAAGGGTAAACTCACTTGAAACCCTGATGTTTTCTACGTCAGTATCAAATGAAGACCAAGCATATACTATTCTACACATAGTCTTCATAAAAAGTATCCATAAGGTGATATTCACTGAAAAGAAGGTCAAAGGTAAGATGGACATGCTACCCCCAAAATATTAATTCTAAGAAATAAATGGAAGGTCATGAGAATTATAAAATTTGCCATTTATACTCAGAGAACCAGTGCTGAAAGTGACTTTAGGGGCCCCTGGGTGGCTCAGTTGGTTAAGCGTCCGACTTCTCAGGTCATGATCTCACGGCCTGTGAGTTCGAGCCCCACGCCAGGCTCTGTGCTGACAGCTCAAAGCCTGGAGCCTGCTTCGGATTCTGTGTCTCCCTCTTTCTTTGCCCCTCCCCTGCTCATGCTCTGTCTCCCTCTGTCTCTCAAAACTAAATAGATGTTAAAAAAAATTAAATAAAGAAGTATACTCAAAGAAATTTATTGAAGACTAATTACTTACAGGTCACTTATTTCTCTCCATGACTAAGAATGTGTAGAAATGAGCCACTGACAACAAATAAAGTCTGACAGCTTTCACTACTATTAATTCCTCTGTTGATTCCTTATCTAGAGATGTTATTAAATATCACAATCAAAAAATGACTTTACTTAAATAATAGTTTTAGCAATGTAACTGATCACTTTAATTAAGAACCCTATCTTAATATTTGAACTATTTTTCTAAATTCAGCTCCTACTACACATCAGAAACCTTGATGGGCA